TTGCGGTGTTCATGTTGTGTTGTTAGGGTTTGTTGTTATGTTACGGGGCACACATGGGGGTGAAGGGGTGTTGTATGTTTTATTAGCAGCTGGGTCGGCTGCGAGCTATGTGGTAGGGGGTGATGTAGTGGTGGTATTGACGTGCGCCGACAGTGATGGATCACGGGGCGCGGGGTTGGGCACGCAATGTGGGCGTGGCATGGACGCGCGCGCCGGTGGTGAGGCGCGCTCACACAAGCTGGGAAAAGAGGATCGTAGCGAGTGCGCAGTGATTGGTCAGATAAGTGGGTACTCTCAGCGACGTCCGCAGGAGGGGTATAAAGGGAGACGCGCGAGAGCACTCGTGGTCAGTGTTAACCAGTTGAAGACCGAAGACGGGGTGGAGGAGGTAGTGGCCCGAGACCCCTAGTCCCGCCGTCCTTGTGGGGACCGGGGCCCTGTGTGGCTCGGAGCCGAGACTGGGGGGACCGTGGTCCGACGCCCGTGTGGGTCGGGACGGTGGTACCCAGAGCCGAGACGGGCACCCCGGCTGGGTGTGTCCCGGAAGGCTACGGGGCGTAAGAGCCCGTGTCAGTACAGCTGAGTGGGTGTTGGTCACCCGTGTAGCTGAGTGGGTGTTAGTCACCCGTGTAGCTGAGTGGGTGTCCGTCACCCGTGTAGCTAAGTGGGTGTTGGTCACCCGTGTAACGAAGTAGGGTGTTAGTCATCCGTGTAACTACAAGTTGGTGAAAATAAAGAGTGTGCTACCCGTGAAGTCGTCTCCTGCCGAGTTACTACTTTACACAAGCACGCAAGCAAGCAAGGAAGTGAACTTAATATAAAGGATTTTAAAAATATATTCGCCTGTGGAGGACACGGGGATCGATCCCGCGACCTTTGGCATGGGAAGCGAGGGCGCTACCAACTGCGCTACTCCGCCACGGCCGGTGGAGGGGTTACGCTCTGGGCTCTTACACTCTGACGTTCAGCCAAAGCCATGAATGCGTTCTATTTGAATATATGTAAAATAATTTTTTTTTGCCTAAAAAGTGTAACATTTTGGGAATTTTTTTTCACGAACAATAATTGTCTGGCACAACAAGTCTGTGTGCAAAATGTCAGCTCGATTGGATCACGGGAAGTGGGTTAAAAAACGACCGAAAGATTTGCACGGTCCTAAGCACGCAAGCAAGCACGCACGCAAGCAAGCGAACTTAATATAAAGGATTTAAAAATGGCCGCCAAGGGTCGCCACTGCCGGCAGGAGAGGTCACTGCACCCCAATGGAAAACTACCGCCACGCGCCTCAAGCTGGGCAGCCCCCGGCCAATGAGGTGCGTTCCCGCCACGGCTCACCTGCTCACATGGGTGCTTGGAGCCTATGGTTCATTAGCAGACAACTGGGCTGTATGATCTGCACCAGGCAAAAGCAAAAACAAAAGGAAAGAATGTCCAAGCCCTTCACCCTGCGAGCTGGAATGTACGTGCAATGCGTCCTGGGCTCTCCGAAGATCTATTGCAGATTGAGGACATCCGCAAGACCGCAGTTATCGACAGGGAGCTGTTGATATTGCAGCGCTGCAGGAGACCCGGCTTGCTGGCAGTGGCTCACTACGAGGGAGGGACTACACTTTCTACTGGCAGGTCAAACAGCACAACGCACCGAGGCAACATGGTCTTGTCTTCTTGGTTCTTTCGGTAAAGTCACGTAGAAGGGAAGTAATAAAATAGTAAAAATAAAACATAAAACAATTCTCACGACGTTTCGGCCACAACGCAAGCAGCCGTCCTCAGGTGAAGACCAGGTCTGTCGAGGCGACAGCGTCTGAATGAAACACCACCACGCTTGGAGCGTCTATTTAAGCTGGGTTGGAAGGGGGGGGGGGGGGGAATGCGCCTTGACAAAATAATCTGCATATCAAGAGGAATTTAACATATTTATGGGAAATGCAGGAATGCGAATAGTGCTAATTTGTGAAATGCGTAGCATGGTCTTGGTTTTGCCATCAAAAGCACACTCCTTGGCATGATAGAACCACCAACCGCAAGCTCGGAGCGGATTCTGCTCACGAGAATTCTCACTGCTTCCGGCCACGTAAACATCCTGAGTGTCTACGCCCCGACACTCTGCTCACCTCCTGAGATTCATGACCAGTTCTACGAGGAGCTTCACAATATTATTCACGAAATCCGCAGCTCTGAGCACGTGTTTCTGTTGGGAGACTTCAGCTTACCTTGTTTCATCATGGCATCTGAAAATGAATGCCAGCGGCCAAGACTACTAGAGCTGCAGGGATTCATCTTCTTGGTTCTTTCGGTAAAGTCACGTAGAAGGGAAACAGTAAAAATACCAGCTTAAATATATGCTGCCAAGCTTGGTGGTGTTTCATTCAGACGCTGTCTTTCCGACAGACCTGTTCTTCACCTGAGGACGGCTGCTTGCGTTGTGGCCGAAATGTCGTGATAATTGTATTTTATTATGTTTTATTTTTATAATTTTATTATTTCCCTTCTACGTGACTTTACCGAAAGAACCAAGAAGAAGAATCACCTTGATTATGAATAATATTGGTCGCGAAAGCCTGCCACGTGTTAAAGTGGACGGGGGAGTTGGGGGTGGTGGCGGTGGGGTGGCAAGGGAGAGGGGGGGGGGACACTCTCAAAACTCCGCACGGAGTGGATTCACGAATCCACTCCTCGTTATATTGCCACCTCCCCCACAACACCGGAGCGGCGTGGGTGGGTGGGTCAAGGAGGTGATTCACAGATCTCCACGCGTCCCACCAACACCGATCGCTGGCGCGTGGCACAGCGCTGGCTGGAGCGACGTCATGGAAAGGCTACCCACTCTCCGACTTCGTGACTCCATCTCCTCCTTGAACGTTTGTCCCTAACCCCCACCCAACCACCTCACCCCCCTCCTCCTCCCCCACTCGGAGGGTGAGAGTCACAAAGAGGGCTTCGCTTTGTGTGGCGTGGTCAGGCCTCGCTTTGTGTTGCCTGCTTGTGGCCGTCCCCCTCGAGTGTCGGAACGATTTCCCTCTCTCGCGAGGGAGGGAATTTCCACCGTCCCACCGCTTCACTTTGGGGACCTCATCAAAGCGGCTGCCGCTGCCTCCCCCCCCCCCCACGGACCCACAGGAGGGGGGGGTGCTGGGGGAGGCCCAGGAGTGGTTTGCCCAGCTGCCTTCTGTGTCTGCGGCACATGGTGACCCAACGCATACCCACAACGTCACCCCCCACCACCGCCCCCCCACCCACCATTTGTGGTTTGGTCAACCCATGGCCTCGCTTTCCAGGTGCACCCAGCCTGGCACGATCGCCGCGGTCACGTGAAGTATTGAACGCCCGCTGGCAGGAGGTCACGTGGCCAAACCAGCAGGTGCCACGGGTCGACTGACTGAGATGACTGGGCTGATACACCACCTGTGCCCCCCTACTGCCAGGCTAGGTGGCGGGACAGACCCCAGCAGGTGTCCGCACGGGTATCGACTGACTTGAGATGGACTGGGCTGAGGCACCACCTGTGCCCCCCTACGGTGCCAGGCTAGGTGCACCAGGAGGTCACGGGACAGACCCAGCAGGTGCCACGGGTCGACTGACTGAGATGACTGGGCAGATGCACCACCTGTGCCCCCTTACTGTGCCAGGCTAGGTGCACCAGGAGGTCACGGGACAGACTCAGCAGGTGCCACGGGTCGACTGACTCAGATGACTGCTGGCCGATGCACCACCTGTGCCCCCTTGCTGTGCCAGGCTAGGTGCACCAGGAGGTCACGGGACAGACCCAGCAGGTGCCACGGGTCGACTGACTGAGATGACTGGGCTGATACACCACCTGTGCCCCCTACTGTGCCAGCTAGGTGCACCAGGAGGTCACGGGACAGACCCAGCAGGTGCCACGGGTTGACTGACTGAGATGACTGGCCGATGCACCACCTGTGCCCCCCTACTGTGCCAGGCTAGGTGCACCAGGAGGTCACGGGACAGACCCAGTAGGTGCCTCGGATCGACTGACTAAGATGACTGACCGATGCACCACCTGTGCCCCCCTACTGTGCCAAGCTAGGTGCACCAGGAGGTCACGGGACAGACCCAGCAGGTGCCACGGGTTGACTGACTGAGATGACTGGCCGATGCACCACTGTGACCCCCTACTGTGCCAGGCTAGGTGCACCAGAGGTCACGTGGCATACCCAGCAGGTGCCACGGGGTCGACGGACTGAGATGAGTGGCCGATGCACCACCTGTGCCCCCTACTGTGCCAGGCTAGGTGCAGGAGGAGGTCACGGTGACAGACCCAGCAGGGGCCACGGGTCGACTGACTGAGATAAGTGGCCGATGCACCCTGTGCCCCCTTGCTGTGCCAGGCTAGGTGCACCAGGAGGT